TTGCTATTGCTATTGCTATTGCTATTGCTAATTCCCATAATCCCCAGGCCAGGCTTAAAGTTGCCAAGGTTGGAGACCCCTGCCTTACAGCACCATAAATGAAGGGGGAGCGCCATAGCCTCCCCCATCCCGGTTATTTCCCGCCTCCCCTGCGTATTCCACGACCCTGGGATTTCCTCGTGGTCTCCGTTCCCAAGGCTGACCAAACTCTGCTGTGCTCACCTCACCTGGAGGTGCCCTTTCCTTTGGCTCTTTGATGACTAAAGTGGCCAGCTCGTCTCCGGGGAAAACCCCTGGATTTCCCGGGGGCATAATTCCCCAAGCCTCCTTTGGTTGGAGACACTTTTGAGTTACCCCTCAATGTAACCCACCCCCCGGAGATTTCCTGGTGGTCTCCCATCCAGGGACGACCCAGATCTCCTGGGTGAACTGAGGCGGGCGCCCTCAACCTGCCGGTCTCCGGAGCCCGTTTGAGAGGCAGCTCCTCGCCCGTCCAGCGGTCCGAGGGGCTCCTGCGCCCCCAGGCAGTCTGTCTGGAAGAAAGGGATAGTGTGTTTCCTTTCCGACGTTGCGGGAGGGGCCTCTTGCGACTCATGGGACGGTCCTGGCCGAACGTCCGATGGCCGAAAGGCGAAGATGCTCCGCTTTCGCTCCTCTGCCGACCCCCCTCCATCAATCAACCGTTCCACGCATCCCCCTCTCCATCGCGGTCCTTAGGAGCGTCCCTCTGCTTCCTAAGGGACCCCCGTGGGCAGCCGCCTCTCCCTCCCACCCCTTTATAAACTCAGACGGGGCAAAGCAATATTGACAGAAAACAGCTTTATTCCCCCCCCCCAAAAAAATGCGCAAAACGCGTGTCATGTGAATGCAACAAACCGACTCCCCCCCCCTTTCCCCGCAGCTGCTACCTACAGAGCGACCCCATCCCCATCCCCGCTGCTGCGTGACACCCGGGAATGAACGCCCTCCGAAGCCGCTAAACGGAGCGCTGGGACGGAAGGTCGCTCACTGCCCGTCCGCCCCGTCCGACGTCTCTCCTCCCGCAGGGGAATCATTGGCCCCTCCGTCGGTCTCGCTGGGACTCCTCTCCACGGTGATCGGGATGGTGCGCTCCAGGCGCGGGACCTGGACGCGGAGCTGCCCGTCGGGGTGGAGGGCGCAGGTGAGGGCTTCCAGGTCGGCGTCGGGGGGCAGCAGCAGCTCCTTGCGCAGCTGGCGGGACTCCCGGCACACGCAGCCCCGCTCGGCCACCTCCTCCTTCTCCTGCTTCCCCAGCACCGTCAGCTTCCTCCCCTCCAGCTTGACCATCAGCTCCTCCGCGGAGAAGCCCTCTACGTCGAGGGCCAGCTGGTGCCAGCTTCGCCCCCGGAGGGAAAGCGGCTGCGTCCGCCCCGTCGAGCCGCATTCGGGCTCCTCCAGCGCCAGAAGCCACAGCCGCTCCCTCTCGTTCAAGTGGTCCGTCAGCTGCCTGAGGAGGCTCGGGGCCCCGCCGACCACCCACCGCTGCGCCTCCCCGTCGGGCTGCCGGCCAAAGCTCGACAGCTGCGGCTCCTGCAGGATGAGCAGCGGCTGCCTCCGCTTGTAGCCCTGGCTCG